TATTCTTATTTTATAATCGCACAATCGCAGATCGCATGCATGTTTATAAAGAATGATAAACCACATAAAAATCTTTATTAATTATTGCATGTTCTTTCTTATTGTTATTGTTGTAGTTGTTGTAGCCTGTAGCTGTTTGTTTGTTTTGTTGTCTGCGCCTTTTATGGACGAACGATTTGTAATTTATTAACACAAGCAAACTGAAAACCCCCCCCAAAAAAAAAGCCAGCAACAATAATTGTTCTAAACCCGTTTAAACCAGCAGACAAAAAAATATGAGCAACAACAACAACAACAACAGCAATGACAACAAACACACTCTCTTTTGATATAGAGCTAGGGCCTAGAATAGTGCTGAGCATACATATCTTTTATTGTAATGGTAATTAATGGTCTTGCTAATTGCACAACGCTCTTGACTATAGTTGCATGCCACCCACACACCCGCACACACACGAACACGCACACACACAGTGAAATTGTAGCTGTATGCCCGTACTAACTGCATCTCTACTCTCTTTCCCTATCTATGTTTCTTTCCACCAACTGTCAATTGTCATCCACACACTGCACAGACCCCGACAATGAGAAGTTGTCCGGCCTTCCACATTCAACAACTGGTTCACTAAGCTCAATCATCACGACGTCCATAGCATCCTCCGAACCGGATCCAGGTGCGGCGGGCGGCGGCGGCAGCGGCGGTGGAGCTGGAGGTGGCGGCGGCGGCGGCGGAGGCATCGGCTCCGCTGTCCTAGCCGCAGACGCATCCAGCATTGCCGGCATCAATGGCAGCTCCGAGGAGAAGTTGGCCCTCAATCGGCCCGGCATCAAGCAAGAGAAATGGACAACGATACTGCTGCAGGTCTCCATACCGTTCTTCCTGGCCGGCATCGGCACCATCGGAGCGGGCATTGTACTGGGACGCGTCGAGGTAAGCTCTATAAAAAAAAAGAAACAAAACAAAACAAAATGTTAATTGATCCATTAAATTGACACTTTAGTGAAATTGTTCGGCACGGAGTGTTACGGGCACTCCACATGGGCATTTTCGACCAGTTCTCTTTTTCGGTTCGTTGATTCGCTCTCTCTCTGTCTGCCTCGATCTCTGTCTCTGTCTCTGTCTAGCAGTCAGCTTGATAAATCTCATAAATTGCCCCATTGGCATTGCGCAAGTGGCAAGATGTCGTTAGATAAAAGAGGTGCGCACAATTAAAATGACACGCAAATTAAATTGTAAATTCTAATGACAGACTGCTCTCTCGGTCTCTCCGTGCGTCCGTCCTTCCGTCCCGTCTGGCGACTCATTAAAATTACAGATAACACAGCAATGCAATGCAAAGCCAAACAAAGCCAAACGTCAAAATGAGCTATTTTTATGATCGCTGAGAAACTTTGTCAAATAGCACTCGAAAGCAGCTGTTCTCACTGAACACCAATTCCATTTGCCGTAAATGCCAACTAAAACAAAAAAAAAAAAAAGAGGAAAAATCCAAAACGAAATAACAATTTAACATTTAGTTGCATTCAATTAATTTTCCTACTTTAAATGTTGTCTTTAATTGCCGTCGCCTTCTTCTGTTTCTGCTCGTTTTTTTAGTCTCTTCGAGCGGCTCTATAGAAACTTGTTTAGAACAAATGATTGTTGATTGCAGTCAGAAGCGAAGACGATTAAGTCAATTCATTCTAATTATATATACGATCGAGCAATCGATGAGGCTGATTATGTGCGATTGTCTTCGTTATGTGTCCATAGCTATCTAGAAAGTTGAACGTTTTATACTCATTCATTAAGTGAAACTGGGCATATTGGTTCTATGCAATTTTCATCTTGCTATCCATCCATATGCCATGTGACCGTAGTCAGTGGTTTTTCTCTATTTTGGACTAAAAAAAACAACATTATAAAAATAAATAAAAATGATAATATATTAGACATTAAGAGCTCTTCAGGTTTTCTACAAGCCCAATAAATTGAGGAGCATCTGTGAGTCGATCCCTTAATAAACTACAGCACTGTCACTGGGCACTATCTTGACAGTCCAGCTATAAAAAGTCAGCTCATATCGTACGTCATAATATAAATTGTTCGATTTAAATTTAGCAATGGATGGCTTAAAAGCGTCAAAACTTTTGGACAGGCCAATAAATATTTATTTATCCGCTAATTCGTCTGAAAATTCTGGTAATAATTTAAGGCTGCTCCAGTTACGTGCGGCGGCTGCCTGTTATAGCCAAGTCGAAAGCCAAATGATAAAAGACGAATCATCGAACCATAGTCACAAACCGAATCTAAGTCCGAGTCCGAAACCGAAACCGAACACAAAACCAAATCAAGTCAATTAATAGTCAATATATAGCATAGATAGCCCAGGCCAGCCCAGCCTTGTTCGATATGACAATGACGTCATTAAAACTCACACAGATTGCAATCGCGATTTATGATCCGCCATAAATCGCTACCAGAGCAATATCTATACACTGTATACTTATTTATATAGCAATATTAACTAATTTTTACGATCGTGCTCTTTGGGTTCACAGAAATGGTATGTCTTCAAGAACGTCAGCGAGCTGTTTATCTTGGTGCCGGCGCTGCTTGGCCTGAAGGGCAATCTGGACATGTGCCTCGCCTCGCGTCTCTCCACGCAGGTGAATCTGGGCAACATGACGGCCCGGTCGGAGTGGGTGCGCCTGATTGTGGGGAACATAGCGCTCGTGCAGGTCCAGGCAACGGTCGCCTCCTTTCTGGTGGCCATGTTTGCGACCAGTGTGGGCGCGGCGATGACGGGCAACTTCTACTTTGAGAATGTGATGCTGCTGACCGCCTCGGCCATGTTTACGGCCACCTCATCGTGCTTTGTGCTGGGTAAGTTGTGGCTAACTATCAGATTCATATATCTATATGTACTATATATGAACTATATTCATTGCAGATTTTGTGCTTGTCGCTGTGATTCTGTTCTCGCAGAAGTATCACCTGAATCCGGACAATCTGGCTACGCCGCTGGCCGCCTCCATCGGCGATGTTGTCTCCATCAGTCTGCTGTCGTTCATTGCCTCGCTGCTCTATGAGAATATAAGTGAGTGTTCCATTCACCTTTCCGCCCCACCATCCACATCCACTCAACTCGAGTATCGACGTCTTTGCAGAGACCCATCTCTGGATCACTTTCATTGTGGTTACCTGTTACCTGGTGCTGCTGCCCATGTGGGTTGTCATCGTGCTGAAGAACGAGTACACGCGGCCGGTGCTAAAGAGCGGTTGGGTTCCAGTGCTCTCAGCGCTCTGCATCAGCGGGTAAGATCGAACTTTCAATTCAAAAATTCCAAGTTCCCCATTATAGTTCAAGCAGCTGGCGCCTCAATGGGAACGTGATAAGCACAAATTGTGTTTCTATTGCAAGACAATGTTTTTAATGTTTACCCTTTTCTTGTTTTTGTGTTTTATTTCTGCCAATTCATGTTGGGTTCAGGCGGCATTAGGTGTGCTAAATTTGGCAACGTTATTTGATTGATCGATTTTTGTTTTTATTATTTGTTTCGATTATTTATTTAAGGCGGCGAGGCAGAGGCAGGGGCAACAAATAGCCAGCTTAGCCACTGCTGGTTTCTATGGTGGCTCGTTGTCCTTGACTCGCACTGTGGGGGTCAATGCGGCACAGTTATTGGCTCGACTTGATATATTTATAGACTGCATGGATATTAATATAGCGCTTAACAATAATTTAATGAGTTTCAATAGGTTTAATGGCTTTTGTGCTACTTGAGGCTAAATAGACTCGGCGAGAGTTGTGAGAGAATTTGGCGTTGTCAGCAAGCAGATATTAGGTGGATAGACAAAGCTATCTCACATAAATATGAATTCTAATAATAGCCTCAGACATCTCTGCTAGACGTCTTTAAATATGGCTTTTGTCTCCACTCATATATCTTTTTTGTCACTTGAGGCCAAATTGGGCTTAACTGGGTTAGCAAGATGAATAGATGATATATATACCATATCTAACATAGAGACGAGCTCTTCAATATCTCTGTATAACTTTTGTCTCTTTTTCTCATGCAGACTCGGCGGTCTCGTGCTGGACGCTGCTGTGGAGGTGTTCAATGGATTTGTGGTCTTTCAGCCAATTATTAATGGTATTGGCGGCAATCTGGTGTCCGTGCAGGCTAGCAAAATATCAACGATGTTGCATCAAAGTTCAATTATTGGCATAATACCACCGCACACGAAAATTGTCGAATGGCCCTGGCGAGCGCTGTTCAAGGGCGGTAAGTTTGAGCTCTAATTGATATTTGTACATTTCATTAAGGCTAAACTTTCTTCTTCTTCTTCGCCTTTCTCGTCCCCGCAGTGCCCTATGCCAAAACGGCTCGCATTCTCATTGCCATGTCCATACCTGGCAATATATTGTTCATCTTTGCGGCCGATTATATAAACATGAGCGCGACGACTGTGACGTGGGTATTTGTGCTCTCCTATCTGGTAGCCAGTTTGCTTCAGGTAAGCTGCGAATCGGTCGAGTCATCTACAAGAGTTGACATTGAGTTCACACCGTTCCTTAACAATTAGGTAATGTTGCTGTTGTATATTGCGCACATCATTGTGCATGCGATGTGGAAGTGGAAGATCGATCCGGATAACTCGGCTATTCCCTATCTGACGGCGCTGGGCGATCTGTTGGGTAGCAGTTTGTTGGCTGTGGCTTGGCTCTTTACGATGTCTGTGAACCAACAATACGGCTCCAATTTGGATACACTGAATGCGCCCAACTAGCGGCGCACACACACACACACACACACACACACACACACACACACACACACCCAACAAAACACAACACACACCACCCAACGCACACACAAAAGTAAAAGCCTATATAATTTAGCTGTGGGGGCGTAGCATCGTTTTCGATTAGCTCGCCCAGTTTCTTAGTTAGCACGCAATAAGATAATGCAAATTCAAAACGATACGAAATTGCAGCAACATAATACAAAGAACTGTAATGTACCTAAATTTTAACATAGAAACTGAAACCGTATATATACATGTGTGTATGTTGTATACAGAAAAATAGACACCAAATCCACACACACACACATGAAAAACAAAAAAAGAAAATGTAAGCACATCACACGACTACATCAGAGAAAAAGAGAAAGAAAAAAACCAAAACAAATAGACAAAGACCTATGCAAATATTAAAAAAAAAAAAAAAATATATATTTCGAATGTTTAAACTGTGGATGAGTCCC